CTAATGAGGAATATACTCTAGACATGAGAAAGAGACTTTGTCATAGGGTTTCATGTTCGAGAAAAGGGAAACAGGTTCGATCTCAACCCTTCTCAGGGTTACCCTAAGGCACTAAGATGTGATGTCCTCTGTCTCTGACAGCTGACTTTCAGGTTTTGCTTTGTTTGAAGTTATGATGATATTGTTTAACCTTCTGCTCACTTGGACACTTATTCTGTTATCCCCTTTCATCAAGGTATGTCTGGTGATTTTGAAATATCTGTCAGCATCACAAAATCAAGATTGTATGAAGAGTTTAGAAAACAAACCAAAGTTAACACATTTAAAGCCAAATATATGCCAGGCAGTCTTGTCGACTGTATGTCAAAATAACAACATTTGATTCTTCAGCATATCATTTTAGACAAATGTTGACCCAAATTTATAAGTTATTTGAAAACCCATTTCAAAGCATGATAAAACCAAAAGAAAGGGGCATGCAGTATAGGCAATTATTTGAAGACTTGAAAGTTGAAAAGTATATTTTGACAGTTGATGTCTCTGAGGCATATCGTCCGGCTATGCAGAAGCCAGTTGTTACAGGAAAGAAAATTGAGGACGATTATGTTCAAAAGATACCGTTCAGTTGTTCACCAGGCAAAGAAACCCAGACTCAAAAAATGTGTTAGCGAAAAAGATTCAAAAATTATATTGTATGTTATTGCAAAATCAAAACAGTAAATCAGTCAGACCTTTGAGGGTTTTAGAATCTAATACATGTTTGTCTAGATCTCAGATACATAAAAGAAAAAAGATGTTACTGGGTGACTGTAGGAAGTCTTTGGCATTTGTTGGGAGGTACAACATGGAAGCAGTCTCTGTAGACGTTAGACAGGAAGATGGCAAACGGTTACGTGTATCTCAGGATAAGAATTCAGTTTCAGACGTTAAAGAAGAGAATATCGAACAAAGCTTATCATGAATTATCAATGGTTGTACCAGACATGCCACGGTTACATTCAGTTGTCAAAAGAGCTAAGGAAATCAATGTTGATGTAAAGATCAGGGACACACCAAATGATACTGTTGGTGTTCAGCAATCTCTGCGAGATCGACTTACTAACTGTGTATCTAACATTGTTGCATCGGGGAAGGGTCAGGCTATACTTTCGAAACAATCTGTCAATGTTAAACTCACGGGTGATGGCACTGAACTAGGCAGGAGAAAAAAGGTAATAAATGTTGGTTTTACTATATTGGATGAAGACCTATGTACTTCAGTCAGAGGAAACTATTTGTTAGCCATGTTTACAGGTAATGAAACTTATGATAATATCAGAAAAGCCCTAGAAGATATAGTCACAGAAGCAAAGGCACTAAACACTTTGAACATTGGAGGTACCCTGGTTCATGTTACATATTTCCTAGGTGGAGACTTAAAGTTTCTAAACATGGTGTGTGGTCTTGCTTCATGTTCCTGCACTTACAGCTGTGTTTGGTGCAAATGTCCTAACTTTGACAGACATGATATGAGTAGAGAGTGGTCACATGTTGATGTTCAGAAAGGCGCCAGGACAGTAGAGGAAATTTCAACAATGTCTAACAAAAAAAATAAGAATTTCAACTGTCTTCATCCACCTCTATTCAGTTTTATTGCCTTAACCAGAGTAGTACCAGATTTGCTACATTTATATCTTCGAGTATCTGACCAGCTGGTGAAACATCTCATCACTGAGCTTAGAACGAGGGACAACATTCAAAGGTGCAACATTCAAGTTTGGAATTTTGTACAAACTTTAGGGATTGAATTTCGTTTCAGAAATGATAAAGAAACTGAAAGGTTTACTTTCAGGGACTTTACTGGACCAGAGCATAGAAAGATTTCTGAAAGTCTTAAGGAGTCGGAATTCATACCGGATCACCCTAAGATATATGATATTACTTTTTTGTGGTCCGAGTTGTCACAAATATCTCAGCTTCTCTCAAAAGAATCATTTCACGCAAGTGAATATCAAGTATTAGGTGACAAATGCAGGAACTGGGTCAGAACGTTTTCGTATGTGTATCAAAGTAAGGATGTTACCCGTACATGCATATCTTAGCTTTTCATGTTCCTGAAATGATCAAACTCCATGGTAATCTTATCACTTTCTCTCAGCAAGGTTTTGAGAAACTGAATGACTATGCTACCAAGTGGTACTTTCGTTCTACCTCACACAGGGGTAGAGAAGCTTTTAAACAGATAATGCTTCAACAAAACAGACTTGAATACCTGACAAGGTCAAAAAGAAGGGTGTGTGATAAGAAATGTGGCAAGTGCCAACTTGTTGGACACAACCAACGCTCATGTAAGCAGTAGTGACTGTTTCCTTTGGTTATCAGTGGATAGTGGTCAGCAATTGTGACTACATTCGGATAACTATCATCAGCTGTTTCTGTTTTATGGTCATTTCATTTGTCAAATATCGTTTTTGAAGCGGATGTAATATGGTTATATCTAGAGTGACAAGCTTGTACACAGATGTGCAGATACATAAACTTATGAAAAATATCACTTTCAGTTCAGTGACGTGATGACCAGTCATGTACTCTCATTGTTTTGTGATGAATGCCGACAGGTTTCGGTAAAGTTTTAGTTTCAATATAGGGGCGGTGGGGTAGCCTAGTGGTTAAAGCGTTGGCTCGGCACGCCGAAGGCCCGGGTTCGAATCCCCACATGGACACAATGTGTGAAGCCCATTTCTGGTGTCCCCCGCCGTGATGTTGCTGGAATATTGCTAAAAGGGGCGTAAAACCAAACTCAGTCAGTCAGTCAGTTTCAATATAGATTATATGTATTTATTTATTTATTTTTTTTTGGGGAGGGGAGCGTTTGCCTGTAGAAGCTATTTCACATTTGATGCAGATATTTGTGTGGTTAGAATTAGTAATATGTCACTATTTCTGGTGTAGTTTCAACTAAGAGACTTTTAGATTTATTATGCTAAATTTCGTGCATTTAAAATGTAATTCATTTTATTCTGCAAAACGTGGGTGAAATCCTCTCCAAGCTACATAGAAATATGGTGATTGATTTATCAATTGGTCCAAGTGCAAGACGTCATGTGGGTCTTAGTTTACATGATATAGACTAGACGGGTGTATATTCAGATATTGGTACTTTTACAACAAAAATACATCATTTCTAAAGCAGGTTCGAGGCCGTAGGCCGAGAACCTGCTTCACGTGCGAAACTAATCGCGAGTTTGAGGACTTTCTCCTACTTAAAACAAAGTTCGACTACTTGTTCGTGCGCATCTAATGTCTATGTTACTATCAAATGCTTGCCATGGTCTGGAAACGTGTGTACACCTCGCCTGAACGCAGCTTAACACGAACAAAACTACGGGAGTGTTAATCGCATGAAAATTGATAACGGCACGTGCATCATTCATTTTTGCTTGAACTGTTGGTTTGTTGGGTTCATAATGGAAACCTCTGATTCAGATATGGACATTTTTATTACGCAAAACATTTTTTCTCAAAATTCAGAAGTTGTAATCAATTCTGACTTTGAAGATTTACTTAATACCACTATTTCAGAACCAAAAGACACCCCACGTTTTGATTTAAATGTTGACATTTCCTCTGGTTCAGATGATTATTTGTTTGAAGCAAGTCAGGCTATTGAAGAAAACTTATATAATAATGAATTGTCTAACAAACGTAAACCATCTGGGCCCCTTCTACAGAAGCAACTGCAGCCATTGGTTCCGGAAATAGTTACTGCTGAAAATAGATCCCGTTTTGCCAAACCGTTGACAGATTCTGACTTCAGTAAGTTATGTAATTCATGTTATTCTACAAATACTGAAAACAAAAGTATGTGGGCTGTCAGACTCTATCAGGCATGGGTAGACGAGAGGAAAGCAAGAGAAGGTCCTAGTGGTTTTGACTTAAATTCAAACATTTTGGAATTAGCAGTGAATGAAGGTGAATTGAACAAAACATTAATGTATTTTTTGACGGAGGTCAGGAATCGGAAGGGTCAAGAATATCGGGGCAATACACTGTATGAGGTTATTGCCTCACTTCAATACTTTATTCGTCGGAATGGAATTCAAATAAACTTTTACGAATCTCCCTTATTCTCCGGACTTAGAACTGTTTTGGACGCCAAAATGAAATCTCTAGCGCGACAGGGAATTGGGATTGATAAGAGACAGGCTGCTGTGATAAGTGTTGAACAGGAGGATGTGTTGTGGAAAAAGGGAATTTTAGGTGAGGACACCCCTCAAAAACTCCTAGACACTCTAGTGTATCTGATTGGTTTGAACTGTGCATTAAGAGCTGGGGATGAACACAGAAATCTAAGGGTGGGACCGAATTCACAGTTCTACCTGACCGATACCGAAGATGGGTGTAAAACTCTTAGGTACACAGAGGATGTTTCCAAAACAAACAGAGGAGGAATAAAACACAGGCGCATGGAAAAGAAATCAATAAGCATATCCGTCAACAGAGAGCGACCTGAGAGATGCCTAATTCGTCTCTACCAAAAGTACATGTCACTTCGGTGAGTAATAAATAGTATTACTATCATAATATTACATGTGAATATTTTAGTTTGATTTGATAATGTTGTTTAAAAATACTTGATTTTGGTCTCGCTCGCTGCTTAGACCTGACTGGTTATCAACGTACGTTAAACCCAATCTCACTCTCACTGATATTTGGTATACACAAGAAGGCATGACATGTGCGACTGTCAGAAATAATTAATTCTATTTTTGTCTTGGTTTATAATATTGGAATTACTGTTACAATGTAGTGGCATTATTGTAAATTGTCATTGAATGGGCAAGATGATATCTATATTACAATTCTTATTTCTCTTTTAGGCCTAAAGATGGCAAGTGTTCTGCTTTCTATCTCCGACCACTCAGGTTTGTGAAAGATAACACGTGGTTTGCTGACTGTCCTATTGGTAAACATCCTTTGAGAGGAACAGTCGGGCGAATATGCAAACTTGCTGGGTTTGCAGGATTCTACTCCAACCACTCTCTGAGAGCAACAACAGCTACACGTCTCTACGACGCCGGTGTAGACGAACAGCTTATTGCAGAGAGGACGGGGCATAAATCTGTAGCCATTAGGAGTTACAAGGTGTGTATACAGTTATTCTTTATCATAAACTCGCCCCCAAAAGACGTTTTACATCAATAGTTTTTTGGGCGAAATATAATGTAACTACTTTAAATATAATTTGTCGGCACAAATGTTCCACATTTCAACTTTTTGGGCCACGTCCTTGTGCATATCGATTTGTAAACAGCAATTCGTCTGCCTAAGATTATTTTATTCAAACTGTCGCCTAAATTTCAGATAGTAGGCTTTGCCTATATTATATTTACCAGAAGGTCCTTAATATAAGATCATGATATGCTTCTGTGAATAATGTTCACGTTTTCCTAACGCAGAGAACATCATCTGAGATGGAGGCCCGGGTTGATGACATAATACAGAGGAAACGCCCATCTGTCACAGCTGCAGCTACAGCCACATCCACGACATCGTCGCCCACGTTCTCGGTCTCCGCCCCTCCATCCGCCACTGAACCCGCCACTGAACATGCCACTGTAGTCCAAGATGGAACTTCTTCCCCGCGAGATCTTCAACTAGTTTTGAAAGATGGTGTGACTCTGTCTCTTAAATTTTGAATTAAAATATAATGTTATTTGTGTTCTTATTGATATGTGTTATTTTTCCAAACCACTGTCATAATGTTTGCGTTTAACAACCAACTGAATGAGGAATTGTTGAAAACGGTTAGATCCCATTTTCAACCAACCAAAAGCTGGTTACTTAATGACGTCATGCTGTCTCCATCTGCTGTATTTCTGCGATCAGTTTTGGTAACATGAGAACGTTGCATACTATGGAACAGAGACAGCTCGGCTTACTATGAGAGCGTACACATGACTATGGGAGAGTAGACTTTAGTTACAAACTATGGGAACCTTTCCCTTAGTTTGTTTAACTAATAGCTTTTGCAGTTAACATGAAAATTTACCCTTTTGCGACTAACATCCACATAACTTAGTTTTACACAACTAGCGGGTCCTAACTTCATTTTTATGGATGATAATGCCCGAGAAAGTGTTGTTAACGATGTTGCTTAGATCAACATCACACATATGGACTGGCCTGCAAGGTCACTTGAACTTCATCCCATTGAACATGCTTGGGACATTATTGGAAGTCTTGTTGACGGTCTCCATGTTCACCTCCAGACCTTGAGCAGGCGTTACAGAGCAAATGGCAGAACATTCCACAACAGCAACTTTAAAGGCTCATTTGGTCAATGTAAAGACGTGCAGAAGCATGCATTTGTGTTCATGGTGGTCATACGCATTACTGAACACTGCCTCACTGTCCAAAGCTGACTTGATCCCTAATGTTTACATTTTTCTCCATCAATGCAGCACATTTTGCACGACTATATTGCGGGTACATGCTTTTAATGATGTGAAAGTCTATTATTGCTCAATACCATTTCATTTCATTTTGATCATCGTGTGTACATATGATTCACCTTTCTATTGCATCATTCCATGATTTGCAATTTCAATAAATGAAAATGTAATGAGACTACAAATTGTGTTGCTTAACTTTTTGTGAGGAGTATACAAACAGACGCACTACTATCTGGATATATTACAAGATTTGAGTAAAGACTATAACCACAGGCCACATGTCATTGAATGAGTGAGTGAGTATGATATAGAACAAGCTTTATGGATAACAACTTCTTTTTATTCGTGAGTGCGACGTTTCGATACAGATTCTTGTACCGTTGTCAAGCATAATGGAACATGAAGAAGGGGGAAGTATATATATACTGGATGTAACAATGTAACAAAGAAAACAACATAATTAACATAATTGGCTAGGCAGAAAGCTAATGAAGCCAGAGAGTAGACAAAGGACAGCCGTGGAAGCCAATGATGTATAAATAATAATGAGATGTTTATACAGCAGAGTTTATACAGTAGATTGGGCTTGGTGGATGAGTGCATCATAAGCAGATGGAATGAAGTATCCTTGGTCTCGGTTGATGGTGAGCTTTTGGCGTTTGATGTGGATGGCTTCGGTGCTGGACAAGGTATGCCTGGACCCGATCGCTGCCATTCAACCCAATATCTTCACTGATCCCACCAAATCAATCCTCCTCCTCTACAACTTACAGATATCAGCCTACAGCACAGCCACCCGACACCCCCATCTCACCGGCCGCCGTGCCGTAGCCACCCAAGCCAACAAAAGCCAAGCCGCAAGTGTTTGCAATTTTGACTCTAGCTGTATATAGACTATAAAGCAACCTAAAGACAATCAATCTCTTACCTTTCTCACAGTTTGTTTTCCTCTTTCTCAGTTGTTCATATGCTCTATTGTAATTTGTTTGTATTTTATCTATATAAAGTGTACATACTCATTCCATCCACCCCCCCAAACAAATCAATACCCCCACCTCCTCCCACCCAAGCCAACATGGCCTCCCCACTCATGTCTTCCCATTTCCCCACCCCAACTAAAGAATTTCCACAGCTCAAATCCCCACACCAAATGGACCCAATCCCTATAAACTTCGGCCTCGACCTTGAATCCATACTACCCGACCTACCAAACACCACCCCACCCACCCCCAAACCACAATCACCGAAGGCAAAACCTCTAAATCAGCAAAAAGACCACACATCTCACCTACGGAAAACAAACAATCCAACAAAAAACAATGTGCCCAAGATACAAAACCCCCCAATCCCAACCCAACAAACACATCCTCCTAGCTTTCGCCACCAACACACACACACCTCTAAACCACACATACTCCATCAATAAATTCGCACTATGCCTCAAACAACAACAACTCCAGTACAAATACATAAACAAATGCGGACGGGGCTTCAAAATTACATTTCCTGACAAACAAACACTCACTAACACCCTCAATCACTCACTTATAGACGGGAAACAAATTAGCTGGCAAGCACCACAGTGGCAAACATCAATACAAGGGGTTATACACATCGACACCAGGGAATCTGAAATTGACATCCAACACTACATAGACATAGCCAATACCATTCCAACACAACCTAAAATCACTCAGTTCTGCACAATTAACAACAGACAACCCACCACTTACAATACCAACACCCAAACAACCTTTCTTACCTTCGACACCTTCACACTCCCCACACATCACCTTCGGAGCATCAACATACAAAGTACACCCAATGAGAAAAAAAACACAACAATGTAAATACTGCTTCTCATACACACACACAACCAACACTTGCAAATCACCCATGCTATGCCCAAAATGCAAAATCCCATCAAACCTCACCCCCCAAAACACACTCCCCCCCAAAAAAAAAGAAAAGAAGAAAAAAAAGCAACTCTCACTCTCACTCCACAAAGACTTAATGAAAATCTAAACAAGCTTATTGAATTTATATCAGCAGCCATACTCCTCAAAGACCAAAGACCCCACAGCTCTACCACAAAAGTCTAGCCAGCCTCCTCATCGCCATCAAAAACCTCTCATAAACCCAACCGACCTTTAAGCTACCCTAGCCTCCACTGCTCATTCCAAATTACGCCCCAACCCATGGTCTTTCTTAAATTATTACTCCAAATTACTGCAACCATGGCTTTATTACATTGGAATTGCAATGGACTCCGAGCCAAAGGACATAAGCTTAAGGCACTCATTGCCCAAAACAAAATTTTCCCCCAACTAATCGCTTTGCAAGAAACCAAATTATCACCCAAAAATGCCTTCAAAATACCAGGCTATAATTTCATTCGGAAGGATAGACCTCGGCCAGTAAATATCCTAGGCCCCCCTGCCGGAGGCCTGGGCATCTTCATATCAGAACAATTAAACTATACCACTTTCGAAATCCCCACCCAAGATCTAGAAGTCCTGGCAATAAAAACAAAACTTAATAATAAAGAATTTACCATTATAAATGTATATAGAAGGCCCACACATAAAATCACTACTAACGATTTAGAAATACTCTCCAAATTCATAAGCCCATATACCATTATCCTCGGAGATTTCAACGCACATCACCCACTGTGGGGCACAAGACCTTTTACCGATATTAATGGAACCCGACTATCCGACTGGCCAGACAAACACAACCTAACCTCACTAAACGACAACCAACCCACAAGATACCCACTCTCCCGCCTACAATCACCTACAGCCATTGATATCACATTCACCTGACCTAAACTAACACAATCATGTACATGGGAGGTCCACGATGACACCTGGGGCAGTGACCACTGCCCCATAAAAATCACAATTACATCACACAACCCCCCCACAACAACAATACACAATCACACCTTTAGTTCAACCTGAAAAAAGCAGACTAGCACAAATTTACCACACTTTGCAAACAACTAGACATAAACAGCATCTATAGCCAAGACATAGACACATTCAACAACAACTACACAAACGCCATTATAAACATCACAAAAAAATGCATCCCCACTAATCGGACCAACACCGCACTAAAAACAGTCCCCTGGTGGAGCACAGATATCATAAATGCCAGAAAGGCAAGAAAAAAGGCCCTTAACCAATCAAAAAGGGACCGCTCAAAATTATATTTGGCAAAAAAACTATGAAATAATACTAAACCACTTATAAAGGCAGCAAAAATCCAACATTGGAGAAAATTCTGGTCAACCCTTAGGCTAAACAAAGCTAACACTCGGCAAATGTGGAATATATTTAAAGCCACAAAGACATTCCAAAAAATCATTTCACCCAACCATCCGGACCTCACCACAAACAAAGATAAGGCTAACTCCATTGCTGCCCACTTCTCGGCCACTAGTAGCTCCACCAACTACCCACCACAATTCCAAAACACCATAAAAAACCATTTCTAAAAAACACCCGCCACTAAATACAGACACCACCCTAGCCTCCACTCTACCAAACTTGCCACACAACACTGACACACACACAAAACTAAACATAATAAACAACCACATCAGCACATATTACCCATCCCACACCCACATCTACACAGACGCATCCATAAACACAAACAACAAAACAGGCATAGGTATCCATGTACAGCAAACTCCCCCTTTAACAACAAACCTGCACTATACTAACCATACCACCATCAATACTGCAGAACTAACCGCGATCCTCACTGCACTGCACCTAATACCCACTCTTCAACAATCAAACTTCCTCATACTCTCCGACTCGCTCGGCTCCATCAGACAACTACACAATATGCACTCAAAATCACGCCCGGATCTAATCCACAATATCACCATCCAAACCGATTCACTTAAACGTCACATAAAAACATAACATTCATATGGATACCCAGCCACACTAACATACCAGGAAATAACACTGCAGACACAGCTGCAAAGCTTGCCACCACACACAACTCACCTAGTATCAACTTTCACACATCCAAAACAGAAATCAAACAACTCATTAAATCAAAGATAACCGAAACAAACTTCCAACACAACATAAACACCAACAAATCCACAAGGGTTAAAAACATCATCAAAACACCTATAAAGAAAATTCCTACATTCGCTAACATCAAAAACATTGACACGTGCTAAAGAATGGAATATCTATATTTACTACTTTTTAATTTTGGGGTCACATACAAGATG